CCCCCACCGGAGCGGGTACAGGCGGCGGCTCTGTCCACCCCCCACCAGAGCGGGTACAGGCAGCGGCTCTGTCTACCCCCCACCGGAGCGGGTACAGGCGGCGGCTCTGTGTCTCCAGCACACACCCATACCAAACCTCTTTAGATATTTGTTCCTCAGTTTCCCTCTGACTATTTTGGAAGATATTTTTCAGAAACAGCTTCTCTAGTTTCAGCAGTAATGCTTTCCTACAGCTCTCCCCGCCCCTTTCCCCTTTCCCCTCCTTTCCTATCCTTCCTACAGCATCTGAAACCCTGAGCCGCCAGTCCTCCCCGTCCCTCAGTCACGTTTCTGTCGTAGCTACAACGGCCCGACCCTGCCTCACTGCACTGCCTCCTTTTTTTTCTCTCATTGCAGGCCTTACCCTTGTCCTGGGTCACCTGCATCTCTGTGCTTTTTGCTGGAGGGTGGCACCTTACCATCCTTTGGGAGTCCATGGTATGCGTTGCCACCTCTCGCCATCTGAGAGTATGCAGCTTCCCCGATCTTGTAATTCCCTGTACACGTTGCAGCTCTCCAACACCCCGCAGTCCTTAGTCATGTTCCCCTTCTGTTTACAGTCTGCTGCCACCTACCCTGACCTCCCTATCCTGAGGCAGCAGTGTTAACCACTGAGCCACTGTGCCACCTAAGTACATAAGTACATGAACTGGAAAGGTATTGGGGGGTACGGTGGTGGATATTGGCCAGGAGCGAGCAGGTGGGACTGGTTTAGTTTGGGATTATGTTTGGCATGGACTGATCAGACCTACTTTCGCTATCCTTACCCACCTGTCATGCACACTTCAAAGAACTATGTATCTAAACCCCTAGGGCTCTGTGTTCTACAATACTACATCCTGTTTAATTTATGTCAACGTGCTCCTTATGGGAAGAGGTAGTAATACAATATGTTCCTTCCCAAAATAATGTTTTGATTGTGTACTTGACATTACATAATAGGCCAAAATACCTCCTCAGTAGAAAAGCTAATGTGGATAAACACGTTACTGAACAAACATAACCTACATTTTTTTTAGCTCGCTGTTAAATGACCTTCTTGCTGTCACTGCTATGTACTGCCAGAGCTCACCATTGACAGCAACTTCAGTGAACTTTATTCTAAACTGTGGAGGCATTTCAATGCTATTGCACTGTTTCGTCAGCCAAAACTCTGCACCCTCATGGTGGACGAAATATACTCAAAGCATAAACGCACAAAAGGTGTGAATGTATTCGAGTGCAGAACCAGTTTACAAGAATGTTCTCATTCCTGGGATCACTCCGTGATGAGGATAGATCGAAGACATTGGGACTATACTCCCAACGGGCTGCGTGGTGGGTCAGTGGTTAGCCCTGCTGCCTCACGGCGCCAGGAACCCAGGTTTGATTCCATCCTCGGGCGACTGTCTGTGTGGAGTTTGCACATTCTCCCTGTGTCTGCATGGGTTTCCTCTGGGTGCTCTGGTTTCCTTCCAAAGTCCAAAGATGTGCAGGTTAGGGTAGATTGGCCGTGCTAAATTGCCCCGTAGTGCCCAGGGATGTGCAGATTAGGGTGGGTTAGGATAAGGTGTGGATGGGATGTTCTTCGGATGGTTGGTGCAGACCTAATCTGCATCCTTTCTGTGATCAGAACTGTGCACAGTGCTCGGGAATGATTTGGCCAGTTCCAGTACAAGCTGTCTGGTGAAGTAGCCTGTTATTTCTCTCCCTCTCTCCCTCCCTCCCTCGCGCAGGTGGTCCTCTTGCTATGGTGGGCTCAGCGATGATGGGAGGAATTCTTCTCGCTCTCATCGAAGGAGTTGGGATCTTGCTGACCAGATACACTGCCCAGCAGTTCCAGAACCGTGAGTACCCTTGCTGTTCACCCCCCGCCCACCTCCTCCCCTCTCCTTTAGGGTCTCTACCATCTCTGCCTGGCTGTTTCTCCTTATCTCATCGCCTTCTCTCTCCTCGAGCCTGTTACACAGGAACAGGAGGCCATTCAGCACCCCCTTCCTCTTCAATGCTGTTACACGGGAATTGGAGGCCGTTCAGCTCCCCCTCCCCTCCCAACTTGAGCCTGTTACACAGGGAACAGGAGGCCATTCAGCCCCTCCCTCCTCCTCAAGCCTGTTACACAGGAACAGGAGGCCATTCAGCCCTCCCTCCTTGAGCCTGTTACGTGGGAACTGGAGGCCATTCAGCCCATCCCTCCTCCTCGAGGCTGTTACACAGGAAGTGGAGGCCATTCAGCCTCCCTCCCTCCTCGAGCCAGTTACACAGGAACAGGAGGCCATTCAGCTCCTCCCTCCTGGAGCCTGTTACGCAGGAACAGGAGGCCATTCAGTGCCCACCCCCCTCCTCAAGCCTGTAATGCAAGTTCAGGAGGAGGCTGTTTATCCTCAGTATCCCTCAAGGACGAGATGCAGTGGTATGTGGGACCTGTGGGCTGGGTCTAACTCCTGTGGCAGTTGTTGCGTTTGATGTGGGTCTAGAGGTGGTGGAAGCAGCTCTCACTGACTCTCTGACACTCTCTTGCCTCCCCCCACACCCTCCCACCACCTCCTCCCACCTCCTCCTCACCCCCCCCCGCCCCGTTCACCCCGCAGCGAGCCCTACCTTGGAGGATCCCAGCCAGCTCCCACCGAAGGATGCTTCTGCCTCGTTCCGGGGTTACGGCCAGTACCAGTGACGGGAGGGGGGGAGTAGGAGGGTGTGTGCTTATCCCACACAGAGATACATAGAGAGAGAGAGAGAGAGAGCACCCAGCGCTTGATCCAACTCTCTCTAGCCTAGCGATCCGTGCCCGCTTCCACAAGCCGACTGTCTCCCGAAAGCTTCACTGTGAATCGAGCCTTTGTGAATTGGACTTCTACTGAGCCCATGGTGACTGTCGAATCTGGGGAGGGAAGGGGCGAGCCCGGAATAAAGTCTGTCTGTTTGATTTGTGAGATCTGAAGTAGGAGTGTAGTTTTTGCAGAAATGTTTCCACGTACGTTCCCCCCATCAAACACTCCTGAGGGCAGGGACAGCACGGGGTTAGAGACGGAGTAAAGCTCCCTCTACACTGTCCCCCTCATCAAACACTCCCAGGGACAGGGGGTTAGATACAGAGTAAAGCTCCCTCTACACTGTTTCTCTCTCCCCCCCCCCCCATCAAATACTCCCAGGACAGGGACAGCACGGGGTTAGATGTGAAACCACGAGTACAGAGGCTGGTTATCCTGTCACCATGTTCCCCCTTTATTTTCTGTGGAGAGCCCTTGACAGTGCTCCAGCTCCCTCAGAGCCAGCTCTCGGAGTGAGCAGAACCTCTGACCCTCCTGTGTGTACCTGTCAGTCAGGGCTCCCTGACTAGCCCAGATTGACAGCCCCAGTCAGGGAACTCCGATTCTATGGAGTCCACCTGGCTGACTCCCACCCCCTTGCAATCATTACAGATCAAACCTCCCGTTTACTTTTATAACCAAAAAAGAAAGGTCTCCCTATTCTCTAAAGCTGAAAGTAAAGCGTCTTCTACACTGTCCCCATCAAACACTCCCAAACAGGACAGTATAGGATTACATGAAGGATACAGCTCTCTCCACTTTCAAAGCTCCCTTGACACTGTCCCCATGAAATGCTCCCAGGGCAGCACAGCACTGGATAAGATACATTGTAAACGTGTAATGGAGCGGACTTAGAACAAAGAACAATACAGCACAGGAACAGGCCCTTTGGCCCTGACACATTTTGCCCTTCCACTCTGAAACTGTCTTCACTTACAGGATCCGTATCCCTCTATTCCCTTCCTATCCATGTATTCATCCAGGTGCTTCTTGAATGCTGCTATTGTGTCTGCTTCCACCATCTCCTCCGGCAGCACATTCCAGGCGCTCCCCATCCTTTGTGTCGAAAAGCTTGCCTTGCCCGTCTCTCTCAAACTTCCCCTCTCGCACCTTGAACCTGTGTCCCCTAGTAATTGACTCCTCCACCCTGGGGAAAAAGCCTCATACTTCCTACTCTATCCATGCCATTCACAATCTTATAAACTTCTATCAGGTCGCCTCTCAACCTCCTGCATTCCAGTGAAAACAAACCCAGTCTATCCAACCTTTCTTTGTAGCTAAAATCCCCCCCCCATACCATGCAACATCCTGGTAAACCTTTTCTGTACCCTCTCCAAAGCATCCACATCCTTCTGGTAGCGTGGTGACCAGACCTGTATGCAATATTCCACGTGTGGCCTAACTGAAGTTCTATAAAGACTTAATTAGGGAAGCTTAAGTTGAAAGAACCCCCTAGGGGACAGTGACCATAATATGGTAGAAATCACCCTGCACTTTGAGAGGGTGAAGCTGGAGAATGGATATTACAATTAAGGTAGCTGTGAAGCAGGAGCTGGCCAGAGATGATTGGAAGGGGAGTCCAGCAGGGGGAGAAGGTGAAGCAGCTTCTGGGGGGTAGTGCAGGAGGCACAGCAAAAAGGAAGAAATAAAAACCATCCTAAGGGGAGGATGAGGTAACCATGGCTGACAAGGGAAGTCAGGGACAGCACAAAAAGGAAAAGCGAACAGTGCGGTGAAGATGAGTGGGAAACCAGACGATTGGGAAGCCTTTTAAAAATTAGCAGCTTTTTAAAAAAAAAGCAAGAGTGGAGAAGGTGAAATAAAAGAAGTTTGCAGAATTTGTTCAAAGGTATTAAAGAGGCGAGAGGGGATACTGAACTGCTGAAAAATTAGGCTAAAGAACAGTAATAGGGAATAAAGAAATGGCAGAGGAGCTGAGAAACACTTTGCATCAGACTTCACTGTGGAAGACACCAGCTGCATACCAGAACTTCAAGGCGGGCTGGGTAGGAAACAGGTGAGTGTGGTGGCTGTCACGAAGGAGAGGACGCTGGGGAAGCTGAAAAGTCTGTCAGTGGTTAAACCCAGATGGACTACACTCCAAGGGCTCTGAAGGCTGACGAGACTTGTGGTGGTGATCTTTTGGGAATCACTGGTGTCAGGGAGGGTCCCAGAGGGCTGGGAAACGGTTCATGTAACACCCCGATTTAAGATGGGAGGGAGGCAGAAGACGGGAAATTACAGGTTGGTTTGCCTGAGCTCGGTTGTTGGGAGACCATTGTTAGGGATGAGATTGCAGAGCGCAGTAAAACAGGGTTGCTTCGTCAACAGAAGGTCGCTCCCTGCCAAATCTGTTTGAATTCTTTTCAGGAGGTAACAAGCGAGTTAGACAAAGGAGAACCAGCGGACGTGATCCATTTGGATTTCCAGAAGGTCTTTGGCAGGAGGCCGCTAAGGCAGTCCATGGTGTTAGGGGCAAGGGACCGGCCCGGATAGGGGATTGGCTCACTGGCAGAAGGCAGGGAGTTGGGATAAAGGGGCCTTTTCCGGTTGGTAGCTGGTGAATAGCGGAGTTCCGCGGTGTGTCTGTGCTGGGATCATAACTACCCCGCTATACGTTAAAGATCTACATGAAAGGTCCGAGGTCATTTTTGATAAGTTTGCAGATGAAACGGTGATAGTTGAAAGGGACAGGTGGTGTTGAGGAGGCAGGGAGGCTGCAGAAGGACTTGGAATGGGTTAGGAGAGTGAAGTGGCAGACGCAATACAATGTAGGAAAGTGTGATGTGGGAAGAATACAGCCATAGATGAAGGTGGAGCAGTGGATGTGGTATACATGGATTTAAGTAAGGCGTTTGATAAGGTTCCCCATGGTAGGCTCATGCAGAAGGTAAAGAGGCATGGGATAGGGGGAAATGTGGCAGATTGGATTCAAAATTGGCTGACCCTTAGAAGACAAAGGGTGGTAGTGGACAGAAAATATTCAACATGGTGCTCAGTTACGAGTGGTGTACCACAAAGATCTGTTCTGGGTCCTCTTCTATTTGTGATTTTTGTAAGTTATTTGGATGAAGGAGTGGAAGGGTGGATTAGCAAGTTCGCGGACGATACGAAGGTGGGTCACGTTGTGGACAGTGCGGAGGTCTGTTCTAGGTTACAAAGGGACATTGCTAGAATGCAGAGCTGGACTGAGAAGTGGCAGATGGAGGTTAACCCTGAAAAGTGTGAGGTGATTCATTTTGGAAGGACAAACTTGAAAGCAGAATACAGGGTTAACGGAAAGATTCTTGGCAGTGTGGAGGAGCAAAGGGATCTTGGGGTTCATGTTCACAGTTCCCTGAAAACTGCCACCCAGGTGGATAGAGTTGTTAAGAAGGCGTATGGTGTGTTAGCTTTCATTAATAGAGGGATTGAGTTCAAGAGCCGTGAAATTATGCTCCAGCTATACAAAACCCTGGTTTGCCCACATCTGGAGTATTGTGTCCAGTTCTGGTCGCCTCATTACACGAAAGATGTGGAAGCGTTGGAAAACAGAAGAGATTTACCAGGATGTTGCCTGGAATGGAGGGAAGGTCTTACGAGGAAAGTTTGAGAGAGCTAGGGCTTTTCTCTTTAGAACAATGAAGGATGAGAGGTGACTTGATAGAGGTGTACAAAGTGATCAGAGGTATAGATAGAATAGACAGCCAGAGACTTTTTCCTAGGGTGGAGGTAGCTTTTACGAGGGGACATAATTTTAAAGTGAAAGGAGGTAGATATCGGGGAGACGTCAGAGGTAGATTCTTTACTCAGAGTGGTAGGGGCGTGGAACGCATTGCCGGAGAGGGTAGTGGAGTCGGCCTCATTAGGGGCATTTAAGCGGCTATTAGATAGGCATATGGATGATAGTATAAGGTAGAGGTGGAGGTTAGATAGATCTTAGGTTTCGGATAAAAGTTTGGCACAACATCGTGGGCCAACGGGCCTGTACTGTGCTGTACTGTTCTATGTTCTGGACTATTTTCTAAATGGGGAAAGGCTTCGGAAATCTGAAACACAAGGGGACTTGGGAGTCCTAGCTCAGGGTTCTCTTAAGATTGACGTGGAGATTTAGCTGGCAGTTAGGAAGGCAAATACAACGTTAGCATTCATCACGAGACGGCTGATATACATAAAGACCATAAGACATAGGAGCACAAATTAGGCCATTTGGCCCATCGAGTCTGCTCCGCCATTCAATCATGGCTGATAAGTTCCTCAACCCCATTCTCCCCGTAACCCTTGATAATCAAGAACCTATCTATGTCAGTCTTAAATGTACTCAATGACGTGGCCTCCACAGCCTTCTGTGGCAGTGAATTCCACAGATTCACCACTCTCTGGCTGAAGAAGTTTCTCCTTATCTTCATTCTAAAAGGTCTTCCCTTTACTCTAAGGCTGTTCCCTTGGGTCATAGTCTCTCCTACCAATGGAAGCATCTTCCCAACATCCACTCTGTCTAGGCCATTCAGTATTCTGTAAGTTTCAATTAGATCCCCCCTTATCCTTCTAAACTCCAATGAGTATAGTCCCAGAGTCCTCAAACGTTCCTCATATGTTAAGCTTTCCATTCCTGGGGCCATTCTCGTGAACCTCCTCTGAACCTGCTCCAGGGCCAGTACATCCTTCCTGAGATATGGGGCCCAAAACTGCACACACTACTCCAAATGTGGCCTGACCAGAGCCTTATAAAGCCTCAGTCGTACATCCCTGATTTTATATTCAAGTCCTCTCAAAATAAATGCCAACATTACATTTGCCTTCCTGACTACTGACTCAACCTGCAAGTATACCTTGAGAGAATCCTGGACTAGAACTCCCAAGTCTCTTTGCAGTTCAGACTTCTGAATTTTCTCCCCATTTAGAAAATAGTCCATGCTTTTATTCTTCTTACCAAAGTGCATGACCTCACACTTTCCCACGTTGTACTCCATCTGCCACTTCTTTGCCCACTCTCCTAACCTGTCCAAATCCTTCTGCAGCCTCCCCACCTCCTCAATACTACCTGTCCCTCCACCTATCTTTGTATCGTCTGCAAACTTAGCCAGAATACCCACAGTTCCTTCATTGAGATCATTATTGTATGAAGTGAAAAGTTGTGGTCC